CGATATGCTGTATATGATTTTGATTTTGTAACAGAAGAGAATGTCCCGAAAAGCAGGATATTCTTCATTGCATGGTAGTGTTAGTTTTTTTTTGTATTTTGAATTGTGTTAACTGCTTACTTCTTGTTGTTGCCTAACATAAATACTATCTTGTTGTTCCATGAAGGTCTCCTGATACATCAAGGGTCAGAAGTAAGATGATTTACGCAAGCTCCAAAGACAGATTTAAGAGAGAACTTGATGGAATTCAGGTGGAATTACAAGCAACTGATCCAACTGAGATGAGCCTTGATGTCATTAGAAGCCGTGCTGGTGGTGCTGCCTAAATATGAATCCATCCCTTGCAATGGTCACTCCCACCGGTCTTCTGTACTTGAGTGAAGTATTTATAGGTTGTGGGATGGTAAACTTGGGTTTATAATGATATCATTTTCCAAGTTTTCCCATAGTGTTTTATTCTTTGTGGAATTGAATCCTTACTACCTCGTGTATTTGATTTGCTTTTGCTGAACCTATGTATTGAGTGCCTTCTTGTAGTCTTATCTTTGCAAGCTAAATTATGTAACTGTTTGTAAGAGGTTAGACAACACTTTTAAATTATCTAAAGTTTCAATTATCAACCATTTGTCAAACTATCTTGGCTATTGAAGTACTTCAATGGATTCATAGTCGCCTGCTTTTGGTTGTTTATAGGGTAGACTAAAAAGTGAAGGGAAGCAACCATCGTAGTCTTTTTTCTTTTTTCGTTGTTGCGCAGCTCTAGATTTTAATCCTTGCGGTGGGTTATTTTGAAGTGAGGAAAGAAGTTTGGCCATTTAAGATGGTTGGTCTCATAAATTCACTTGTGTTTAAGGCAATTGATTAGTTGCAATTCCTGAAACTTTTATTAAGGTCTCGCAGGTTCGCTACTCTTTGTTGCCACTTAAGATCATAATTTCTGTTGTTCTATACAGGCAGACATACAGTTTAAGACTTGTGAAAGGTTGGTTATTTGTCTTCTGAAACTTACAATTTGAGCCATGTTCTATTGCCTCTGGC